TCTATTTATGTTTCGGCGCTTTTTCACGTGAGAACGGGCATCCCGCCTCGTGACGTCATTGAAGTCGATTAACCTGCAAATCAAGTACTGCCTGCCGAGTAAAGGCGCTAGATCTAGGTTGATATTATGCTATTTATTTACGTAGGCACGGCTTAGTGTAACCCCGTTACGTACTGGCAATCTTCAGGTCACTGGAATCAAATACAGTCTGAGCAGTGTCACCTTAAGTGGACCTGTTGATTACATTAGTACAAAGAGTGCTGCAACCGCTGACCACCCGGCTGTATCTGCAGTCAGTGTACTGGGAAGGTTGGATATTGGCGTACGTGGACCGCGGCTGAACAGTAGTAAAGTCGAGAGATCATCAGTCATGTATGGTGAAGATAATAGATTGAATATTGTCATCGTGAAACCAATGCCACGACTTGAGGTATGGTTCACAGATAGCTTTAAGGCTGATTTACCTACGTTGTCGTAAATGAGTTGTGTACTTAATTTACACAGTACAACTCAAGTTGTAAGCAGGTTGCATGCGACAGTTTTAGGCCAAATTGGTGTAGTGTAAATCTGCCTTTAATATCTCACTGAACAGCACTGAAACTTAACTCATTTTATGAATAGTAATAGCTGTATCAGTTCTAAACTTCTCTTGGTAGAGGTCCAGAACTTCGATGTTGGAATGGGTGATTCCAGGCAAGATTTGATCTAGGCAAGAAGAACGAAATCCAATACCACAGCTGGAAAGGGCATCTTAGAATGAGTAAAACTGCAAAGATTGGTTGCTAAATGAAGAGAATATAGCCCTGTGAAGTTCGCAAATTTTGTATATATTTGTATTTTCCCGCGCGTAATACAAATATGTACAAAATTTGCGAACTTCACAGGGCTATATTTTCCTCATTTTACAACGTTTAGCAACTAAAGTTTGCAATTTTACTCATTTTAAGATGCTCTTTCCAGCTATGGTGTTGGATTTCGTTCTTCTTGCCTAGATCAAAATTGCGTATATAGCTGGAATCATCCATTAAACACATGTTTTCATCTTAAGGTGACGTTCTGTGGTTTTCCAACCTTGCTACTCTGCGGTGAATTTCGGAAAGTGAAAGTCACATTTTCAAACGAAGGTGAAGGACCTCTTCATAAACTTCATTCAGCGTCAACCAACGCAAACCTGTTTGCTTTTGACGGTGCAAGTTCAAACAACGAGAACATTAATATATCAGGCTCTCAGAAGAAACAATTGAGCTGTTTTGTGAAGCGTGTTTCTAAAATATCTCTGCCTGATGGTTGTCTCAATGCAAGGGATAAGATTGAATGTACAATGTGGGTGCAAGGGCGACAAAAATCTGGTATTTCTAACGAAGAACTTTTGTTTTACTACGAGTCTGCTGATGAGAATCCTAGCATGAGGTGAGATGGCATTTCGGCTTAACTTTCCATTTAAAGATGCTGTAAAGTCCGTTCTGCGCAGGCCTACATTCCAATGGTCGGGATCCGAGTATTGGAATGTTATTAATATTTCGCACCTTCCGAACTTTCTTGAATCGAATTTCTAGTCTGTATTCATTCACATACATAGCGAATCAGAAGAGTGTTAAAAATTCAGTATAATATATATCTAATCATATTTTACAACTGTAGCACTGAGTTCAAAATGTAAACAAAGCGTTTGTTTACATTACGGACTTTACAGCATCTTTAACATTTCAGTGTGTTAGTAAGTCAGGCCACAGGCTTAGCAAATAATCGTTTTATCAAATTACTAATTTAATCAAATGATTATTTGCTAAACCTTGTGATATGATTTACAGACACACTGGAATGTTAAAATGCGGCTTTACTATACCAGATTTGCCTTGCAGTTATCAGTATGAGAGAATAATGTTAATTATTTTCATCATATATAGCAGTCTTGTATTTGGTGGTGGCAAAATTAGTAAAATTGAGGGATGTACTTTAATTTCCGTGCTCCTGTAACTGTTATATCAACATGCTTGAAAAACACTGTTCCCTTCACCGGTGGCGAAGCTAACCATAGGAGTGCTCATGCTATGCAACGTTTTAAATTATTGTATTCAAACCTATAGACAAGCCCGTAGCTGGCTCTCAATTTCTGGGGGGGCACTGCAGGAAGAATGTAACAGACGGTTTGAGATGAGAAAAATTCCCCCCCCCCCCGTCACCAAAAAAATTTCGGTCAGTGTACCATTTTAGGGGTCAAAAAATTTTTCCGGACACACCAATTTTTTCCGGACAGACCAAATTTTTCCGAGACCTAACAAAATTTTTCGAAATATCACAAAATTTACCACAAAATTTACAGAATTTGTCCCATGATTACAATTGGTTTCCAGGTCCTTTATCTCAATTTTTCATACCAAATTTCGGAGTGGGGGGCACTGGGGGGCACTGGCCCACCGAGTGGGGGGGCAATGCCCCCCCCCAGGCCCCCCCTCAGCTACGGGCCTGCCTATAGAAATCCATTGTCTTAAACCAATTTGGTATAGGTGTATTAGCATAGCATGATCAGTTGCCATGGCTAATTTTACCACTGCCCTCAACAAATGTTTAATTACAAAAACACTCCGTCAAACTACCGTATTTTTTCCTCTGATTTAGTCACAGAACAGTTCGTCACCAGTGCACTATGAAGACCAGTAGGTCACTCGCAATCCGAGCAACCGCCAAGAGATGTAAAGTGACGTCACAAGATGACGAGATACGGGAGTAAGTATTGATATATTTTCATCTTGTTTGGTTTTCAGCTTATAACAGGTTCTGCGTTTCAAGATAGTTCAGACACAAACTATGACAGGTTATTGTAGAATACTACTTACACTAGACCACCACGTTTGAGATATCTTTTTCAGGTAGTTCCGACACAAACTATGGCAGATTATTGTAGCATACTGCCTACACTAGACCCCACCACTTTTTTGAAGGTTGCAGCCTGTGAGTTATATCTGATTTTCTCTTTGCAACAGAGATACTGAAGAGAACAACCAACTTATTGTGACATTAGAAGTGGAAAATTTATCTCTGGTGGGTATTACGTGATCTTTTTATCATTTTCTTGTGTTTCATGTAACATGACATACATTATTCCTCAATATTTGAAAATATTTTTTGTTTAGTCTGAGGCGCAGTTCCGAACGTTCTCAGTGTCACAAGTCTGTTGCGTAAGCAAGAAATGGATATTGAAACCTTTGAGTCGCCAAAAACAAGGTGCGTTGTTTTCGACAATAATGTTCAGCAAGGCTGAATTTTGGTGGAAATAGTGGGGGAGGTGGAAAAATTTTTTGGGGAGGTTCAGCAGTCTAGTTCACGACTTCCATGCCCCATGGAAAGTTAGGGCTTAAACGGGCCAAAGTCAACGACGTGACGTATGCATGTAGTGTACATATGTATCAGTGTATTAATGAATTATGACTGTACAACTCATTACAATTACTACAAAGTTTCTTTCAAAATATTGCATTTAAAGGATACTTGACACATAGAGATGAATGGCTATCCCTGTTTCAATTTCACAGAAAAACGTTCTTTCGAAGTGTAGACCCTAAGCAACCAAAAAGTGTCAAATTTTCACCTTGATCTATCATTGAAACTTTCCCAAGGGAATGTGCATGACTTTTCAGAGGAGGTGAAAAAATTCCAGGGGAGGTGCAAAACGATCCCAGGGGAGGTGTGGTGCGCACCTGCCCTCAAAATCCGGCCATGATGTTCATAATATCCATTCTATGCTACCATTATGCCACCATAACTAAATAATTAAAATGTTCACTATATATAGACGGAGTGATCACAATTAACCAAGGCGAGACAGTTATGACTCATTTCAAAGCTGTGAGAAGAAGAGAGGGTGTGTATATTTTCTTTATTTTCTATATTTTCATGATCCCAGTTTGATCTGATTTTGACGCTTCGCATCTCGTCGCACCAAAGCTGGATCATATAAACAGCCCCGTAAGCCTCGTTCACACTACCAATAGACGATTCCCCTTTTGAGTGAAATTTTGATCTAGACAAGTTTGGACAAGAATTTCATCACAGCTTGAAAGAGCATCACAAAATTAGTAATATTCCGAAGTTTCGTTGCGAAATGTTGTAAAATGCGGATAATATAGCCTTGCGAAGTTTGCCGTTTTTCAGTCATTTTGCATTACAAATGGGAAATTGATAATCAGATGATCAAACTGATTATCAATTTAAAATGACTGAAAAACGGCAAACTTCGCAAGGCTATATTATCCGCATTTTACAACATTTCGCAACGAAACTTTGGAATAGCTGTGATGAAATTTTTGTCCAGGCATATCTAGATCAAGATTTCACTCATAAAGGAAAAGGTCTATTCTGTCGGTGATTTTTCTCTTCCTGGCAAATGTGATTGAATGAATGACATGCAAAAGACTTTGAATTGTTTACTTCTGAAAAGCGACTGTATACTTTTGTGTGCGAGTTCACTCATTTGCATCCGTCAAGGCTCGTTTACACTTGCAAGTTTTGCTGCGATTTCTAGTGTGATTTTCTCCTTCTGATGGATGTGAACGAGTGGATGAGTTACGAATGTTCGGAGTACATGTACCCTCATCTGAACATTCGTAACTTATCCACTCGTTCACATCCATCAGAAGAAGAAAATCGCAGCAAAAATTGCAAGTGTAAACCAGTGAACTCTAAAAATAACTGGAAGGCTAACTCCTATGATGAAAGTCTATGATTCGTTGAAGCCGGCGCGCGGGAAAATCAGCTTTCAAAAAGACTAAGGAGAGTTTCGAGGAGTGAAAAAAATTCTGCCAAAAGTTTGTTTTCGAGCAAAAATTTGCAAGAAAAACACTTTTTCCATGGGAATACAACAATGATTGGGATTTAAACCAGGTTTTCCGATTAGTTCCAACTGTTTCAAATCTCTCTGCAGCAAAAAGTAAGGAGTTTTGCTTTTGTATTTTGAAAAAATGACGAAAGTTTGGACGTGCCGAAGGAAACCTCGCCGTTCAACTCAAAAATATATACTATAAAACATTTTGACAGTCCCAAAATTTATGTTGTACTAAACCCTAGGTATTGTTATTGATCCTGAGCTTTTATTCCTTGTTTTAGTCGCTTTTAAACATAAATAAATTGGCGTTTTTCAAGTGATGTTATTTTCGTCATCGGCATCTTGTTGGCCACTATGAGCGTTTTGAATATGGCATATTTTTGTCAATTTTCAAATGCTTTTTTTTCGACCTTAAAACTTTCAATCTTCTTGAAACTTCGCATACAGATGTATTTTGCATGGGTTTAAATAATTCCTGAGGTATGACGTCTTAGTTTTATCTTAAACTTCCAAAAACTCAGAAAAAGCAGCCTAAAACGCGCGGTTGTTCTGACCGTTCATGCTTATGGCCGTGTTTTTTCGTATTTTTTTGCTAATACGTGATTTGTTTGCTTTGCGAATATTAAATTCATTTATAAAACTACTGATATAAATTAAATTTGGTAGTATAAATAATATTTTGGGGCAAGATTTTTCTGAAAGAAAAATGTGCATATTTTGAAAAAAAAATTTAAAAAGGACTGGGTCTACCTACAAAAAAAGCTTCAAGCACGGCTTCAACTTCCCCCCCTGACTTAGCCTTCCAGTTATTTATAGTTCAATGGTGTAAACTAGCCTTCAGAAACACAAAATCGCCGACAAAATTGCTAGTGTGAACCAGGCGAAACTACGGTAAAATTGACCTAATAGCGCATTCCCTTAATATTTTTTCATTTACAATGTTTAGTTTTGTGGAAACACCATGGCACGTATATTCGTTTTCCTAAATAAGTAAATATGACGCGGTGTTTCCACAAAACTAAACAATTCTAGTTATTCCACCATGAAAAGATACAAGAAATGTTTTTTTATGTTTTTAGGTTCTGATCTCAGTATAAGTAATTTGTCCTTCACTGATAAAGAGGTAAGACATTTGGGAGCATTTTTATATCGCTTATTTTTGTGATCTATTTTACAAGTGAACTAAGTTAAACTTTGTCTATACTAGATAGCTCTATCATTCCTAAACTATCCCCCTTAGAAGACCAGGCCATCTCTTAAGGCCCATTTCCACTAAGGAAAATTTTCCGCCGAAAGAAAATTTTGTAAAATGTGATCGGCCGACACAAATTTTCCGTTGGAAAAAAATTTTGAAGTTGAAAATTTTCAACTTTTAACAATGATATTTTGAGAAAATTTTCTGTCCGTGGACATTTTTCTGGGCCTTTAGTTTTCCAGTGTCATCTCTTGTGTTCTAGTGTCATGCGTAGTCCAGTGTCGTCATGGAAATCATTGCATGTAAAGGCGTGTCAATGTAGTTATATCTTATGGCCTATAATATATTTTTAGACGGACATATCATGCCTGCCGTACTGGGAGTTTTTCCGTCGTACTAATACGTGGAAGGAATTGAACGAATTTGAAGAACGAACTGACAGCACTATGAGTGTTGATTTGGCTCTCGTTGCATTATGGGAGGTACGTATTTGGTGCCTTTCACGGTTTCACCATATATAAGCAACTTCAGTCACTCGACCTTATGAGAAAAGTGAAGCCATGATGGAATTAATGTCCAATACCTATGAAGATTGTAAACAGTTTTACTACTATTTTTCCCAGCTAATTTTCAGTTTTTTCATAAAACCATGGTATTATACTATTATCTGCAGTTATCAGTGTGTGAAGATGTTCTCATTATATGTTCTAGTTTTGTATTTATTGGGAAGTAAATATCTTATAAATAGCGACATTTCTGATGTTGATCACCATCTGCCCCGTGTACGCCTCTTCCAATGTTTTTGCATTCATTCAGGAAAAAATTGACTTCATATTTAAAATATATATACTTGAAATTTTTCAGTCGTCCTACATTGATTCTCAGTTGTCGAAACATACAGTCCATGGTCAAAGTGAAGTTGCAGTCATTACTTTAGCAGAGTCAATTTCTGCACCTATCTTGGCACAGGTAAAACATTATGTCTTCAAACGCTTAAACTGAAATGCAGCCCTTACAAGGTCTGATTGTGGGGGCAGTGGCTATATGTCCTAAGCTTGTTTCAAAGTGAGGTAGTCTGGATAGTCAGATAAGGCCCAAAACCTACACACGTAAAAACGCACAAGTTGTAACAAACCTGCAGCAGACTTGTAGCAATGCTGTTCCAACAACTTGTCAACATGATGTGTTCGCACTGCTACATACGCAAAAGTCTCACATCTTGTAGCAAGTCTGACAACAAGCTGTCAGCAAGTTGTGTTCGCACTGCTTGTCCCAAATTGTCAACAAGTATGGAACAGTCTGTTAACAACTTGTAACAAGCTTGTTGATATTATCAGACTTGTTGCAAGGTTGTTCCAACAAGTCCGATACAGTCATGATATAACAATATTTTTACAACCTTGTGTCGTCAACCTTGTAACAATCTTGTTATACATGACTGTATCAGACCTGTTAGAACAATCTTGTAACAAGTCTGATAATGCTATCAAACTTGTTACAAGATGTTAACATCTTGTTCCAAACTTGTTACAACAACTGGGAACAAGCAGTGCGAAGACAACTTGTTGACAGCTTGTGAACAGATTTGTAACAACTTGTTTACAGACCTGTAACAACTTGTGCGTTTTTACGTGTTTTTAGTTCCCAGCTTGTTGACAAGTTGTCAACGGCTTGTTGACAACTTGCTACAAGGTTGTTGAGTTCAACAACTTGTTATCGTCCTGCAATTCAACAATTTGTCAACAAGTTGTGAGTGACAACCTTGTAACAACTTGATGAAATAACAGCATTGTTACAACTTGTTGACAAGCTTGCTACAAGCCTGTTGCGAATACATCTTGTTGACAAGTTGTGAGATTTTACGCGTGTAGTGGAGAATGAAGTTGGCAACTCCCGTAATCACCCAACAAATCGTTCCTTAAATTATATATACATGTAATTGTGTGGTTTTGTAATGTTCACTGTGACCTTTTTGAGGCAGGTATGTAATATCGATTTGTTTTCCAGCCTGCAAAGAAACCGAGTTTGATATCGTCTGATGTGTCTACAGCTGGCAATACCGAACTTTACATCAAGTATACTGTTGATTGTCCAGGAATGATTACACATGATTTTGAAAAGCAAAGGTAAATAAAATCATTTCTTTGACTTTGAGACAAATTACTACATTCGTAATCTACGACTGATCTTTCTTGCCCTAGACGTGACTCTAGATCTACTATATCCAACACGAGTAAGTGCCCCCCCTCCGATTTTTAAATACAGACAAGCAGGTTGAAAGGCGAAGCCGAGTTTTTTTAACCATCTTGTCTGTATTTAGAAATCAGAGGAAGAACATTTGCGAGTGTTGGATATAGCTTCTCAAACGAATCAATACTTTAAGAGAAAATCGAGTTTAAAGTTGACGAAAAACGGCTGTAATCTTCCTCTTATTTCTAAATGCAGAATTAATATGCATTTCTTTTGAATTTCCTTCATGAATTATTAATGAGTTTGAGAATACCTATTTAATATTTATTCCCAATTCTTAGGTTTTGTAAGGCTACCGTGACTGTCACGTTACATAACTGTAGTCAATTCACCGTGAAAGCTTTTGTCGAAATGTTGGCTCATTTATTGGAAAGGTAAGAGGAATTTTATCACTATTTGCCGTTCAATGTAGGTACCATTATACAATGTCATTAATGGTTGGTGTCCACAAGGATGGATTTACTGGGAGCGGGTTGGGGGCCCATCCCCCTTAACCGTGGCAAAGTTGGTGGTGCCAACTTCATTATCAAATCCCTTTTTTTTTCAATTTGGAAAGGCAATATCCTGTCACCATTCCCAATAGTGCCTCTAAACCTTTCCAGGGGTAATGTTTCGCCCATTCTACAGAACACTACTTTGTGTAGCTCCAAATGGTAATGAACTTGTTAATGGTCACACCATGACCGTGGGCCGATGAATTCCCCTACCAGATCTGATTCCATCCATGTGTGTCTAAACTACCAAGATTGGTGGAGCTTTTCAAAATAAAACTTTCCAACGTATTTAAAATGCTTTTAAATATAACAATTGTGTATTGTTTGTCTTTGGTTAACCCATTGCTTCACGCTTGCAAAACTGTTTTCTAATTTTTTTCTCCACCCAAAATGCCCGATGGTCGGATGGACTGTTATTTGATCGGAAAATGTCTGATGTCCGACCTGAATCTCGTTCCCGAGCACACCCGTTCGTAGGTTAAGGGTGGGCATGCTCGGGAAAGGAGATTGGTCCGATCTCTGTAAGTTCTCAGACAATGTCTTAATTGAACATTGATTAAAACAGATTAAAAAACACTTCCAGATTCCAGTGAAGTAACGAAGTCAGTTCTCAAGCTTCGTATTCAGCAAACTTCTTTATCTTTTAGTAACACTGATGATTCCTCTGTGCGTAAAGAGGAGAAAGCACAAGCAAAATCAGCTCAACTATCATCCAACAACTCCAATCATTCCTTACAATGCAACAGCGCATTTCTGTGGACTGGTAAACGGTCAAAACTGGTAACATTGCAGCCATCACAAACAATGAAACTCGAATTTTCTGTCAAAATTTTTAAAACTGGCGTTTTTAACTTGAATCATTGTCGGGTGTTAGCAGTCTCGAACACGAATGAAGAGAGCACTTTAATGGTCACCCAGAAACCTCCACCGGCTTGTTTGCTTGTGGTGAGACACTCTACAGAGGTTGATAGAGACTCGGGCTCGTTGTCACCAGTTGGAATGTTGAGTTTATTTTACTACGAGGCGGTACAAAGGTAGCACTCCTTAAGTAGTGACATATCCCTCAGGCTGCCGCGGCCAAACATCTCTGGGGGTATGGACAATATCGACAGATGTAGCTTTAGCCACTGATCTCAAATAGATCTGGAACGCTAACAAAGTTTCGAAATGGGTCATCCCCGAATTCACGTGAAGAAGTTCGTGTATGCAATAGACTTCTCATGCTCTTATACAAAGTCCCATTTCAGATCATGTGATGTTAACATCATTTATCAATCTTAGTCATTATGTATTTTTCATTTTCAAATACCTCGGAGGAAATTCGCCTATCATATTGCTTCATTTGGCTCGCATTATGTTACCATACTGGTGACGTATATGCTAAACCACTCTTCAAGAGTGGATCAAAATTAACTCGTTCTTAGGGCTGGGTCAAAATGTTTTCGTTACATCAATCCGTCCGCAGGTCATGCCCAGCACCTAACCTGCGAACGGGCATACTCTGGGTACGAGATTGTCATTACATCGGAACAAAAAGGTCGAACCTTCCTTCTTTCTCTATTTTAATCATTTTTGGATTTGAAATTTTACGTAAAATACACAAAGAGTGGTAAAAATGTAAACATTAGATGATCTGAAATACAGCTGCGGAGGTCTATTCATTTCAAAATTACGGCTCTCGAGCGTAAAACAAAGATATGCAAGTGAGCTCTATGCCTCTATATATGTCTGGAACATGAACGTCAGTCATTCGGTCTATGAGAAAAGTGAAGCCAAGATGGCGGCCATTGACATCCAGTAGCTCTGAAGGTCGTAAACAGTTTTAATATCATTTTCCCAAGCTAATTCCATTTTTTCTAACGGACTGTATCGCTAAACAAGTTATCAGTTTATCATAAAAGCCATAATGTTATTCTTTAAGTCGATGTCAAAATATGAAATTTTGGCATACTTAATGTTAACAGCTATTAGCCTTTTCCCAAAAGAGATCACAGTGCATTCTGGGATCGGTTGGAAGGACAAAATATATGGCGACAGGCGTCAAATATGTGAAAGAGTAGAAGTATCTACCATCAAATATCAACTTTTTAGAGACGACCAAAAATGAAATATCTCCTTTTTACATTAAACTTTTAATTTAAATGTGTGCTGCCATATTTCTTGTCCCTCCAACAAGGGATTCGCGCGACTAGACCCAGGACTTTGGGAATTGGCTAATTTCAGCCAATGATTTCAGCTCCGTGTTAACCGCGCAGACAAAAGCAATAGAAAGGGACTGGAACTGGCGTCGAAAAGCTCTTCAATAGACCTTATGCATAATGACGTCACAAGGCTTGATGCCCGCGAGGAATGCTGGTCTTAGTAGTCATCACCCAGGAAAATTTCGATAGTGGCCATTTTGAATTGTTTCATTTTCCCGGGCGATGACTACTAAGACCAGCATTCCTCGCGGGCATCAGGCCTTGTGACGTCATTATGCACAAGGTCTATTTCCGCGATCTTGGCTTCACTTTTTGGACTCAAATTCTCGCTCCAGACACATATGGAGCTCATTAAGATATATAGAAACTTATTTCGGTCGAACAGATATTCTGGAGAGAAATACTGTCTGGAGAAATTGTCTGGAGAAAAATACTGGAGAAAAATGTCGTGACGTAATTAAGACGCGTCTCTCATTTATGCTGCGAATTCGCTAGAGTTTTTATGAAGAATTCTTTGCATCAACCATGTGATTATTTAATATACAGGGTGTATCAAAAAAAACTGAACAGATTTGAAATTGCTCTCAATTTCCCAAAACACCTATTTGTATCCGGTTTTTTGTATATATATCTT